TTGGCGATAAATGGCGATAGTTGGTGGGGCATCCACGATAGTTGGCGGGTCATCCACGATAGTTGGTGGGTCATCCACGATAGATGGTGGTGCATCCACGATAGTTGGCGGGGCATCTGCGATAGTTATGACATTGAGATCAGAACTGAATTCAACATTTTGATCTATTTGATGCGATGTGTTATATCAGAATGTGTTAAATGAGTTATTGGGTTACTTGATGCGATAAATTGGTAATGTCTCATCTTTTAGATGCGACAAAATAGGTTTGTTATATAAAAAATGTTGTATCTTTGTTATTATTACAAATATGAGTTTATAAATGTGTTTGATGATTATTCATCCCGTAATAGCAGACAAGAAGGGAATTCACTCATTAGACCTGTCGGTCTAACCCTCATTTTTGGTGTTTTAAATGGTGCACTACATGTCAGGTAACCAGATGTTAAACGAAAACGAATTTATGAAGAGAATATATGATTGCCTGCATGTAAATATTTGGGATAATATGTTGTAACTTGTACATGCACTACTTATGAGTACAAGTTTTGAATAGAGATTTTGAAAAGTTGGTAGCTACTTTTATATTGTAACTTTTATTATATTTGGAATTGAATGTGTAAAGTTGTATTTCTTGTTATATGAAATACACGAGTATATGCAAAACCTGGGACCAGGGGTGTTACATGTTGTCTGACCATAGGGTAGAAATTGGCCACGTTTAACGTGAGTTTGTATGGCGATAAGTAGTTTATGGCCACAATTACAGTAAAAATGCGCCAATACCATAAAAATTAGACACGTTTATAGCCACGGTTTTTGAGATATGGCTATAGTTTTTCATTAGATACGGTGACACATTTTAAACGTGGCCAAAAGGGTATCATTGGTCACGGAAGTATAGGCTACGGTTTGATAAAAAAAAGAAAAACTGTGCCCAAAGGCCTATGAATCCAATATTGAATTTTTTTGAATTTAATTTTATATATATTAAATATTATAAAACTTATGAATTATTTTTAACAATTACTTTATACCCTTATACTTACCGATTAAATAAATAACCACAAAAACTAAAAATTACGAATAAACGAATCCAATATTGAGGTAGTGACTGAAACATACCCCTCTATATTTATTTACTTATTTACAATAAACGAATTATTAATATATAACAAAAATATATAACAAATGTAAATAAACATTATTTTGTAATTAAAAGACACTACAACAAATCTAACCTATTATCGTTGCTAAAGATAAAAAATTCGACATTGTAGATCTATTGCGACGACTTTCGTCGTTGTAGAGCTTGTTTGTTCGTAGTTGCAGCTTCCTATAGCGAATGATAAATGGTCGCTAAAAACTAAAAATTACGAATTAAATTATATTAATTAACACAAATACGTATTTCAAGTTTAGCTTGATTTAAGTATTAAACTTTCCATTCGAGAATTAAAACCCAAAATGGAACATAAAATTTAGATAGTCCAAAACGAACACACCAAGCAGTAATCTACATGTAGTAATTCGATAAGAAAAATGCAGACAACAAATGATTAACATTGAAGTTAAACATTCAGTCGATTAGCACAAAAAAAATCGAACAACGTATATTTAAGTAAATGAGGGTGCACAACGACGAGAAGAGGGATCATTATTTGAACTCCATGGACGATACAACAATCAACAACCAGAACTCGGTGAACGATTACTACGAGGATCGAGTAGTGGAGGGGGCGATTTGGATTAGGGTTTCAATTGTTATGACTTTAATCGTTATAGAGATGATTTCTTGTAGTGAGAAGCGTAAATGAAAAAGATGAAATAAAAACGATAAATATTGGGAACATTTTGGTCAGTTGAGTCAAACGATCTATTTTAAATTTCAGTTTTTGTAGATATATAAAGAAGATACTTCTACAAATTTACTCCCCAATGAAAATGCAATTTCCTAGGCAACCTCATATAAACGGTTGCAAATAACATATTCATTGTGAAAAATTTGGAGTATGAAAATCAAAATTAAAAAAATAGAGCTAGGTGACGTTTGTTTTTTAAGAGGTGTTGAAGTCTGAAGTTTGATTTCACTTCTGATTTATAAGAGATGTTGCTGAATTCTGAAATCTGAATCAGTCAGACTATTTATTGATGCAAAAGTCCCATTTCTTATTTTTATCTTTGTTGTTTACTGCACCTACCCATAAACACCTTCAAGTTCCTGATTAATGTACATTACAACCTCTCATTTCATGTTTTTTATTAGTGCTTTGCTGCAGCTACCTTTTGCAAAATCGGGAACCTTTTCTCCACCAAAAAGGGACATTATCCAAGTATAGAATGCGGACAAACATCAATTCCTTTTGCAAATACTATGCAGAAATACAAAATGAAAGAAATGGAGAAATACATATGCAGAAATATAAATAACATATACAAGATGTAGAAATACAGAAGGAAATACATATAATGTATACAAGATGCATAAATACAGAAGGAAAGAAATGGAGAAAGGAAGGTCAGACAAAGAAATAAATCTGGAGATCGAATAGGTAACAATTTCATATTTGGGAAAAAAAATCAAGATTTCTACAAATGGTGGTAGGGTAAACATATCTGGATTTTGACATACCACCATTTGTATTCTCGAGAGGCTTGAGGAGAGGTCGAGACTTGAGGAGCTTTCAGAGCAAGATCGATACTTGAGGTGAGTTTGATTTAAGAGTCATTTAAGGGGTTCTTTTATCACTTAAAAATTCAGAAGAAGACTATAGGTTTTAATCTCTTATTTGAGAAAAAAAAGTAAACTGTCAGAAATTGAAAAATATCTGACAGAATTAGACTTAAAGAGCTAATTAAGAGTTGAATCTCAAAAAACAAACAACCCCCTAAAGTTTAAGTTTTTTATTATTTTGAATACCATAACATTAATTATTTATACTATATTATAAAGTATTTAACAGAAACTCTTAAAAATCATTTCTTATACATGAAGTACTGCTTATTGATGTATATTACTTAAAATTCAAGATTACAAGTAAATTATGCAAAAATACAAATTATCAAAGCTCCATATTTGAATTCGTGTAACTAACTATATATAAACATAATCAAATATTGGATAAATATTTCATTTTAAATATAAAAAATCTAAAATATAATTAGGATAATCATTGTATTCTAACAAACTACTTAATTATTATCTTTATAAAACTTATATTATCAAATCAAAAATAAATTACTTTCTTGTTAAACCTAAATTAAATTATAATAAAAAATTGAATTAAATAAATTACATAACAAAACAAGAATTTTTAAATAATTAATTAGATACTAATATCGATATGTTTTTTTAAATTTTAAGGTATCTTCAAATTTATATTTTATTCAAAATTAAAAATATTATCGTTTTTCTTAAAACCACATAAAACCGTATTATAATATCGACATAAAACAAAATAAAATGAAACATTAAAATCGAGACGTATCTCGCTGCATTGTACGAGTATCCTTCTAGTATTATTTAAATATTTAAGATAATTTATAAAATATTTTTTTTTCAAAATATCTAACTCATAAGTAATAAAAAAATATTTCTCTATTTAAATAGTAGTTTCCAAAGAAGGAAAAAAAATCCAATAACCTTTTTTATTTTGAATCATTTAGTCTTTAAACTATTTTTTGGAACGAAAAAATCATTAAACTTTTACATTTTGAATGATTAAGTCTTGAATTATTTTTTTGGATGAAAAAACCATTAAACTTTCTTTTTTTTGAATAAAAAACCATTAAACCTTTTATTTTGATTGATTAAGTCACTAAACATTTTTCTATAAACAAACCATCACACTTTTAAAAATTGGTTACATATATTATTTTAACCCAAAAAAAGTTACATTAACCAACTAGCAAAAGTTTAATGGTTTATTTATTTTCTAAAAAAAATTCAAGGTCTTAATTATTCAAGATATGAAAGTTTAATGGTTTTTTCATTCAAAGAAATAGTTCAGAGACATAATCATTCAAAATGATAAAGTTCAATAGTTTTTTCATTAAAAAAAATAGTTTAGGAACTAAACCATTCAAATGGAAAAATTTATTGTACTCTTTTGGACCTTTTCCTTTCCAAAATTTGGAGAATTACATAATTATTTCTATTTTCTTCAATTTGTAAAATCTAAGAAACAAAAAATTAGCCCAAGATCTTGAAATCATCTCCATCATATTTTTCAAAATTGAGATCTTGAAGATTTTTGCTCCAACAAATTCTTTAAAATAAAGAACGTACGAGAAAAATGATGAAATCATCCAAATTTAGATAAGTCTTTAAAAATGTTTGTCTAAGAAAGAAGTGATTTATTATTCTTCAATGAGAATATTTGAAATTAAATATATTTTAGAGAGAGAGAGAGAGAAATAATACGTTATAAATTGTATTTGCTATTTTAATGATATAATTTATATTTTTTTTATTAACCTGGATATCCAACCCGTTATGCGAGCCGACTAATCTCATGACGACCACCTACTTTGCAAATAGCCCGGAGTCACTGCATTTGAACCTCCGTGGCCACAAAGGGATTTTTATTCCTCCTTGGATTTGAACCCGAAAACTCCTAGTACTTTTGATCTTTGGAGTCAAGCTCATACCAAATCAAGCACCATCCTTGTGGTTTGATATAATTTATATTGTAATCTACAAAATATAGAAAGTATTGAAGATGTACACTAAATTTCTTTTGAATTTTTTTGATTTTTGATTCTCTATTTTAAATATTATAAATGTTGCTAAAAATCTTCACTTTCTCTTTTAGAATAATCTAGCCAATCATAAATTAATATTGCTATAATTTGTTAACATATTAGTTTAATACTTGATATGGAATTGAATTTACATAACTACATATACATATACATATACATATACATGTGTATGTGTGTGTATAAATACACCCATGTATCCTTTTCTTACTCACACACCTTGAGTCAATATACAATACATGGCTTTCCATTCCTTTTTCTTTACCCTTCTAACCTTCTCATTATCCTTCCATGGAATCTTCGCCGTCGACTACCAAGTGATCAACGAGGCCACCACCACTCCCGGCGGCATCCGTTTCACCAACGAAATTGGAATCCCCTACACGAAGCAAATAATGGGTACCATCAACGACTTCATATGGTCCGTCATCTTACAAGAACACAACCCTTCAGACCAAAAGCCCGTGGAGTCCGTGAACATTTATATCAAGGAATACAAAGGAGCCGAAGCAATCACTTGGGGAGATTATATTAACGTTAGTTCCATTTATTTAGAAGGCTACCAAGGCGACGTGAAATGGGAATTCACGTCCCTTTTGTACCACGAAATGACCCACGTCTTTCAATGGAATGGCGAGGGTCAAGCGCCTGTTGGATTGGTGGAAGGGGTTGCGGATTACACGATTCTAAAAGCAAACTATTTCCCACCGGCCTTTGCCAAACCGGGAGATGGAGATAGGTGGGACCAGGGATATGATTTCACAGCCCGTTTTCTCGAGTATTGTGATGGGATCACCTCAGGGTTCGTGGCGAAGCTAAACAAGAAAATGAGATATTCTTTCGACATCAAGTATTTTGAAGATTTGACTGGGAAGCCCGTAGATCAACTATGGCAGGAGTACAAGGCTAAATATGGCCATTGACATATCAAATTTATTGGGATGTAAAGAAATAAATGAATTTGGAAATAAATTAAATGTGTATGTGTATGTAAGCTACTTACGAATGAACTAAATATGTTATAATATTCATCAGAGTGAATTACACTGCAGTTTGATCAAAATTTTGATGTGTTTTTAAAACAAAATATTACAGTTTCTTTCAACTTTTTAATTTTATAACATTCACGGTTCTGAATTAACATCGTCTAGTTAACAAACATTACAAGGAAACAAATCAATCTTTGAGCAAACTATAAGAAACAAAAGTGTATTTTATTCTAAATTTGTCCTATAAAAATAGCTAATACAACATTTTATTTTAAAAATATTTTAACACTTGTTAAAAACATCGTATAAACTTATTAGGGTTTAGTGACATATAGATCCTAAGCAAGCCTAAATCAATCTCCATCGAGCAACACAAACTCTCAATTTTTTCATAGATCTTTAAACCTGCAACTTCACAATTGAAGTCTGGAACAAACGCCCGTGTTATATGCTCGTAGAATAAAACGCCTCCACTTCATTTCGAGCTTTCATAGCAAATCAGCGGGTACTTGATCAACAGTCACCTTCTTCAAAGTAGAAAACATGCCTTTGAATCTAACTGCTTTAGATGATGAAACATCAGTCACAGATAAATAAATTATTTGTTTAAGTTTATTCCATAAATATGTGGACATGACGATCTCTTTTAATATGAACACTATGAAATGGATGACCTCAATCATTTAAGAAACCTTTCATTTGAAATAAACAGTTTTCCTTACATTTAATTAGGAAAGTTTCGCTATAGATACATATCGATCGTAGCTTGAAATCTTCAAACATTTTTTTTTTTACTTTTGTAACTGATGACCTAATTTGTCGGATTTTGTTTTATGTTTTATTTCTAAATTTGATTTTACCTTGTTTATCGATCAATGCTGATCATTGTTTAGTGATTTTTTGGATATAATTTCCGATTGAAAATTACGGGGGTTAGAAAACTTCTTGCAATCATATCGGTTCTTTGTTATCATGTAAAAATCGATTTTATTTGAATTACGCTCTATGCAATATATATATATATATATATATATATAAAACATATTACAAGATGATAATCAAAGGCATTTACAATTGTACCAAACAATATAATTCTGCAATTAAATCCATATCAAACGGTATAATTCTACTTTATAACCGAGCCTAAACTCTAGGAATATTTGTTGGAATATCATTGGTTTAATGGAGGGATTTTTTAACCTGGATATCCAACCTGCTATGCAAGCCGACTAATCACAGGGCGACCACGTGCTTTGCAGGTAGCCTGAAATCACCGCATTTGAACCTACGTGGCCACAAAGGGATTTTTGTTTCTTCTTGGATTTGAACATCCAGACACTTTTGACCTTTGGAGCCAAACTCAAACCAATCAGACACCATCCTTGTGGTTTAATGAAGGGAATTTGATATGACAAGAAGTTTGTGAGAGAGAATCAGTGAGTTTAACACATTGTTCAAGACATAGCTGGTCAATTGGTAGTAAGAACTGAAACATTATATTCTTGTTTTTGGAATACATTGCAGAGCTTTTACACATAATTTTCAAAAAAAGAACGACTTATTAATTAAAAAAAAAAATATTTTCTAATAATCAGATTCATTAATTACAGCACTGTCCATATTTAACCTTGTAGTCCAGCCACAATTGGTAAACCGGTTTTCCAGTCAAATCCTTAAAATACTTAAACTCGAATCTAAATCTCATCATCTTATTAAGTTTTGCCACAAAACCCGGTGTGATCCCTTCGCAATACTCGAGAAATCGGGCCGTGACATCATACCCTTGGTGCCAGTGATCTCCTTGGCCCGGTTCTGCAAATCCGGGTTGCGTAAGATTTGCTTTTAATTTCGTATATTCTGCCATCCCTTCGATCAACCCAGGAGGGGCGTTACCGTTGCCTGTCCATTGTAAAACATGGGTCATTTCATGGTACACGTTAGCCATGAATTCCCTTTTCAAGTCCCCTTTAAACCCTGCCATATAAATGGAACTAAAATTAATATTGTTGTTGCCCCAAGTGACTGTTAAGGGGAATTTGACCTCTTCGATGTAAAGGTTCACTAAATCTATCGCTTTTTGGTCGGATGGGTAGGATTGTTGGAAGATGGCGTACAATATGAAGCTGTTGGCGGTAGCCATTATTTGCTTTGCTTTGCAGACCCCGATTTCATTGTTGAAACGGGTGCCGCCAGGAGTGGTTGCGGCATCGTTGATCACTGCGTACTCGACTGCCGTGATTCCATGGAAAGATAAGAAGAAGGTTAAGAGGGTGTACAAGAGAAAGGAAGGGGGAGCCATGGATCATCTACTAACTTAAGGTGCATGCATGCATATATATATATATATACACACACACACACATATGTGTGTGTGTATTCATATCCATTTCAAGCATTTACCAAATTTGTTAATGGATGCTTTTTATGAGACAATTTTTTCCATAATTAATCATAAGACGCTTAAATTTTTGATTTTGAATCTTAATTAGTGATTAGACGTACGTTTAAGATCTTAATTATAATCGTTTCCATTTTATGGCTTTATTATGATTTTAGTATATATATATATATTTATATTTATATATATATAGTAATGTACATATGTATATTTTAGTATCGATCTTGATGGTTCTCCATAATTGGCGAGTTTGATTGTTGTTCGATGGGGTATCAATTACCTTTTTGTTTGTATGTTTTGTCTCACTTTCTATATGAACATGCAAATGCAAAACAATAGTTGCATACATTACAACAAAATTGGGTTTATAGGACACCCACAATTTCTAAGTGTCCCAATAGACCGTTTTTTAGAACTTAATTTATAGGACCAAAATATAAAGTGTCATATCTAAAGATGTTGTAATAAGTTTATATGACGCTTTTAGACGTCTTAACAAGTTTTTAAGGATATTTTTAATACAAAGTGTCGCATTAGCAACTTTATAGGACACTTGTTTTTATAGGACATTTTTTCAAATAGTGTTCTATAAAGTTGATAATGGGACGTTTTATATTAAAAGTGTCCTAAAAAACTTATTACGCCATCAAACAATGTCATATAAACTTATTACAACACATTTAGATAAGATACTTTATTTTTTTGGTCCTATAAACTAAGTCCTGTAAAGAGGTCTATTAAGACGCTTAGAATTTGAGAGTGTCCTATAAACCCGATTTTGTTATAATGATATGTTTCGGTTTTTCCAACTGTTCCATTCACTATTTAGGATTTTAGGTGAACAAAGGATCATGAAAGCAAAGACTAATTAATACAAGTGCCTCGTAACCATGCACATCTATTCTTTACAAATTAATATGATTCACCTTTAAAGATTAATGCTTCCAAATTGAAGGAGATGGGTGCATTGATTGAGCAAAAATGCATATTATGTAAGATAAAATGACGAAAATATTCTTCAACTCAACGGCTGGAGCTTAAATGTTTGTTATGTTAGGGACAAATGGTATGTGCAAATTGAAACGAATAGAAGGGTTTTGCAATATCAATTGGTAGTAACTAAATGATACATTTAGAGAAGGTCTAGAAAAATGTGATTAAAGGATGCCTTTAGAGAAGCTTTACAGAATATGTTACTAAAGCCTCTAAAGGTACTTTTTAGTGACGCTTAAAAACCGTCATTGATGCTCAAAAGAGCCCACTAATACATATTTTTAGAGAAGCTTTTAAAAAGAATCGGCCAACCTTTAAATAAGCTTTGAATAGCGTATTTAGAGCCCAAAAAAGCTTCTCAAAAGGTTAACATAAACGCACCCTCCCGAAAACCCTCCCTAAAACTTTTATCTACCGTTATATAGGGAAGGTTATTGACAAAAGTGAAAAACTTCTCTAATACTTTCAAAGAAACTTTTCAAACTTTTAAATACAAAAGAAAACGTCCTCTGAAGGTCATTTTTCTTGTAGTGCGGTTTTCTCAAAGTATTGTGATGGATCACCTTGGGGCATAAACAGATCTAGAGGGGTGGTTAGGTGGCACGTGCCACCGTATTGTTCCTTCGTGGTAAGGTAAAAAAAATTAGGTTCGTGAAAAGTACAACCGTTTTATTCTAAAATGTACAACCATTTTATATGGTGTTACCGTATTCAAAAATTCTTGGATCCGTCACTACTTAGGGTGAACTCGTGACAAACCTAAAGCAAAAATGAGATTTGCTTACGACAAAGAAAGCCTATAGATTAATTGTGGCAGGCGTACAAAGCCAAATATGGACAATCATACATTAAATTCATTGGGGGTGTAACTGAATTTGGTGATTCAAAAATAAAATAAAATAAATTTTATTTTTATTTTTATTTTTAAATTGATGCATGGGTGTTAGTTATAACTATTAAGACTTTATTGAATTTAACTATTATATAACTGTGAAATCTATATATTTCGTTAGATTTAATAAAATCAGTTGTTCCCACAAATATCAAATAGAAAAACCACAAAGGGTGATGCCTGATTCATTTAAGCTTAGACTCTAAAGGTCGAAAGTGTCTGGAAGTCCCATGTTCAAATCCAACGAGTAATAAAAATTCTCTGAGATCACTTTTTTTCTATCCCTCGCATAAGAAAGCTCGTTGTAGATTAATACCTGTAAAATATTATTTTACGTTCATGTTATATTCACTCTTCAATTAGGTGCATAAACATAATCCATAACTTTAACAAATGATTTGCAAAATATTAATAACATTTTATAAAATTTAATTTCCAATTATCAAACTGCAATACATTTTATACATTAATGTCCATATTTGGCCTTATACTCCTTCCATAGTTGATCAACGGATTTTCCAGTCAAGTTTTCAAAATACTTAACATCATAAGTAAACCTCATCTTCTTATTAAGTTTTGCTACGAACGCCGGGACGATCCCATCACAGAACTCGAGAAACCGGGCTGTGACAGTGTACCCTTGGTCCCAACTATCCCCATCTCCTGGATTTGCAAAACCGTATGGATTGTCGTACACTTTCAATATTGTATAATCTGCTATCCCTTCTATCAACCCTGAAGGCGCAGTACCCTCACCATCCCATTGAAAAACATGGGTCATCTCATGGTACATAAGGCCCGTGAATTGCGTTTTCACGTCCCCTTCTACCCCCTTTAGATATAACGAACTAACATTAATGTTATTGCCCCATTCGATCCCTGCGGCTCCATCGAACTCCACAATGTAAGTGTGGACAGAATCTACTGGCTTTCGGTCGGAGGGATCGTTTTGCTGGAGGACCACGGACCATATGAAGTCGTTGATGGTACGCATTATTTTCTTTGTGAATGGAATTCCTATTCGTTGTTGAAACGGATGCCGCCGGGAGTGGTTGCGGCATCGTTGATAACATGGTACTCCACGGCGGATATCCCATGGAAAGATAAGAAGATGATTAGGAGAGTGCACAAGAAAAATGAATGGGGAGCCATGGATGATCTACAGACTTGATCGATATGTACGTATATATACATGGATGTATACACATGCATGTACATAATTATATAAAATCAATTCTATATTAAGCATCTATTAAATATGTTGACGATTTTAGTAATAGTTAACAATRATTGCTTAGTCATTTATGACACATTAATTTTTTACTTAATTAGTGGTAAGACGTTTCGCTTGTTTGATTGTAATTTTAGTATGGTTTGAATCAAAGGAAGTATCTTTAAATTTTAAAAGGGAGTAAGATTACGAAAATCGTAACGAAATGAAAATCAAAACCTTGRTCTCCATCACTCGACTTCAATAATTTCGTCAGTAACCATTCGTTTGCATTTTGTTACGGTTTTTGTCCCGAGCCCTAATTTATGTGCCCCTGAGGACGTGAAGGGCATTTTGGTCTTTTCAAATCACTTACCCCATAACACCACTAGAAGGGCTCAAGCTGAAAACTATGAATTTAACATGTTAGGGGCTACAACAGGAATCGATTTTCCAATCCCACTAGAAGGGCTCAAGCTGAAAACTATGAATTTAACATGTTAGGGGCTACAACAGGAATCGATTTTCCAATCGTAGGATTCCAAAGAACAGCCATGTCCTCCTCTGGATAATAATAACACAATAAGCCGTGAGAGGTACCGATTATTGTTGATCCATAATTGGCAACAAGTATTTCAATGAGCGAAGGAAAAGTCGGAACAAACTTTTGTCAGGGGAAAGTATCATCATTGACAAAAGAAACGTATTTTACCTCAGTTGCTTCCTGATCTCCAACTTTGTACCTTATAAGCAAGTGTTGCGGCTGAGTGTGGCGAACGCTATAAGCAACAATAACTCAGAGCACTTGATCAGTGTCTTCCATGCTTTGCACACCGATCTGAAYCGAATCAATGATTCGACAAGGAGTCTTTTGATGATTTCCTCCTGAATATGGAAAGGTATTCGTGGTGACATTTTGAGTTTTGGGGATGTGAATTT